ATGGGGCACTGGGCAAACCAAGGAAATCCTTGCTAAAAAGGCTTTCTGTTTCTTAGCATTCGGTTTTAATTTAATGATAATTTTGAGGGACAAAGGTCTGTAGTGTATTTATCAGATGCCAACCTGAAGTAAATATTTACATGAAAGAACTTCAGAAGAAACATTTTTCCATCAAGTTCCTTGTTATTAGTAATAACAATGATGATGAAGAACTGGAGGTACAAAAACACCTCATTTAAGTCAGGGCAAAAATTATGCTTGAACTAAGCCAGAAAACAGCACCAAGCACCTTTTGAAAATTACGGTTTCTTAGCCCCAAATTACGATGACCACATCTCCTTTCAGCACAAATAAACATTTACTCAAATAAAAGGAGCCACTGTGATCTTTTCTGTTTGCTGTGGGCTCCTGGCTGCCTGTGCTGTTGATTTGGGTTCTGAGTGTTTACTGATCCCCAGGGCAGTAGGAAGTAACAGGCCATTTTCTAAGTGCAGCTTAATTTGGTATCTAACTTCTGAAAAGGACCTTCTCACCAGGGGGTCCTGATTATGGAAGCTGAGTTTGCAACTATGTGAATCTTTTTTTTTTTAAGCCTACGTTCTCTCCATTTCTGAAGTAGTTTAGCCAACACAAAGCTAATCTTAAAAAATCTCTTATGAAGTGTTTTTTTATGGATTACCAAAGATCCAGAAATGGGGTTCAAGGAGGACACAGAAACTTCTGGAAATTTTTGGTGTGCTCTTAGGTCAATCAGATTCTAAATGGAGTATTTGATTCCCTAATGTTCCTACCATCAGAAAAACAAAAACATGCTGCTAGAAAGGAATTTTATTTATGATTTCCAAATTTCCCCTCTCCTCTCCGAGGGATGCATGGATTCATACACTTGATTGTTAAATCGGAAAGCTTACTTCTCTGGCTAAGGCATGTTTTTCCAAATTAATTCAAGACTTCCGAAGAACAATTGATTAAAACAAAAGAAATGTGAAAAGACCCTTTAAACGTTTTCAAAGAACTACACACATCTCAGGGCCCACTCCCTAAGGTGCACTGTGGATATCAAAGGCAAGGTCATAACATCCTGGGCTCAGCTGTCCTACAGCTCACTCAGCAGAGAGGTGTAGTGTGGATAGAGGATAACCTCTGTCACAAAGGACAAAACAGGACTGTTCCTAGAAGACCGGCACCTCTTCTTAGTTCTTGCGTTTTCCTTTATTATTCCATCCTGGTTTGAAAATTATTCAGGCTGGGAGAAGTGCCATGATCCTCAAGGCCCATATTACTCTTGAAATGAGGCAATTCTAAAAGTTAAGATGTTTCCTCACCTGAGAAAAGTTTCTTGAAATAGATGTGTATGAACTATTTAACCAATGAATGGTGAAGAATTCTCATTTTCAGTTGACATAGGAGTGGTATATACTTATGAGTATGTGTGCTAGCTCAATAATGTATGTACTATATAATGATCAACGCTTCTATTTGATACCACTTCAGAATGCTTATTCTTCATCTTCTTTATGGTTATCAGAGACTATAGTTACCCTCTTGAACTTTAGAACACCAGGACTTGGAGAGAGGTTGGAAAACAGGTGGCAAAGACTTTGGAGAACAATTATTGTTATTGAGCTTAGCTTGTGATACTAAAGATATGCTCTCCACATCCTGTATGAGGTGCAGAATTCTAGTCAATCATGTGGCGTTCAAAGGACTTGGGGGCTGAGCACTGAATCTCTAGTCTTCATCAGGCCCCGTGTCTCACCTCTTCCATTTGTTGTTGTATTTCCTTCACTTTAAACATGCTAAATTTACCATTGTATCCACTCCTCTGAGATCGTGTTCAATGATCACGGCCCTTCTCAACAACCTGAAGAAACCTAATTTTGTTCTTTTATTTTTAACTATAAATGGGGGAAAACTTTCCCATAATAACCTAATTTTACATTGAATTTAGTTTTAGTAAAAAAAAAAAAAAGATAATACATGTCTGAAACTCAGTTATTAAACATGGGATAAAATGTTTCCCAGAGGTTGAGGTATAATGTATATACTTTAAATTTCTCCCACTGGAATCTAATGAATTTACATACATGTATAACCATCATCACAATTCAGTCATCAAGTTCTTCAGTTTGTTCCAATCTTCCCTCCCACCCATCTACTGTCAACACCCACTCTTAACCTCCCAGACACTGAAAACCACTGCTCTGAAATCCATCTTTATAAATGTGGCATCTTCTGGGAATTCTATAGATGGGTCATATAGTATACTTTGATTATGTTTTCTTTCACTGGGCATCACGTTGTGAAGCTAATCAATTTAGTCACATATATCAGGCATTTGGTCTCTAATCTCTGGATAGTGTTCCATTGCAATCATGTACTACTCTATTTTGTTGTCTGTTCATCAGTTGGTGAACATTTAGACTCCTGCCAGTTCTGGGCTGTAATGAATAAGGCTGCTGTGAGTATCCACATGAAAGTCTTAGTATGAATCATGTTTAAATGGTCTTGAACAAAATCTCAAGAATAGAAAACATAAGTTAGTTGTATGACAATGTTGAAGTTTCTTCATAAGAAGGTACCAAACATTTTCAATAATGGAGTCCTTTTACATCTTCTCCAGCGATGTGTGGAAGTTTCTATTTTACAAAATCTTTACCATTACTTGGATTTCCAGTTTGCTTGCCTGGTTATAGGCATTGAATATATAGCACACTCCTTTTGTGGTTGCAGTTTGCCTTTCTTTGACACCTAGGAATGTTGGGCACCTTTAATGTACTTAGCCACTTGTTTATATGCAAAAAGCTTTTAATAGATATACTATTACAGTGTGTATGTGTGTGTGTGTGTTTGTGTGTGTATTCATGCTGCATGTGAAACCTAAGTATGTTTTACAGCTACTTTTCCACAATTTTGCTTGTCTTTCCATCTTGCCAGTGATATCTTTAAATAGCTTATACTTTTGAAGTTTTATCTAAGGATTATTTACCTACTTCAAGTCACAAAGACTTTCCCCTTATTTTTTTTTTAGAAGTTTTATAATATTTACTCATTCATTTAGGTATGTGATTTATTTTGAGTTAATGTATACATATGGTTTGAGGTGGTGGTCAGAGTTCATAATTTCTACATTGACATCTGATATTCCAGTGCTAGGTTTGACACAAGTGCCCCTTTTCTCTTTGAACTGGCTTGGGATCTTTCACATTTCATTTTTGTTAAACTATCCTCCAAAACATTATTACTATTTTATTCCAGTTTCAGACACCAATCTGTGTAATGGGATATTTTTCCCGCAAGTTGAAAAAATGTAATGGGATATTTTTCCCGCAAGTTGGTGGGAGGAATAAGGAGAGGAAGAGGAGGAGTAAGGAGAGGAAGAGGAGAAGGAAGAGGAGGAGCTATGGGAGAGAGGACAGAGAGGGAACTTGGAAGCAGATGTATGCATGTCTCTAGTAGTCAAAGGTAGTTAGTATATCTAGGTTGAGTATTGGGTTACACCTCTTATTGTGTGGGCATATTGTTATTGAGCATTACCAAACATATAAAGCCTTCGATTAATATTTAAGCATTAGAGTCTCATTTTCCTACCAGGCCCACACGGATGGTGGGATGATTTGGGCACTGTCCAGCCTTGCGGTGACAGCATGGAAGATTGGCAGAGCCATCTCCCATGCTGACGTCTCGTGGGTGGTAGGGCTACTGTTTCTGGCTGGTCATTTCTAGTTGCAGTGCACGGCTGAGCTAGGCGGAGCTGCTGCAACTTAGATAGTTGGCTTGACCAGTGGCCGTTTTTAAATAATTACTTCAACAAATCTAGAGACTTATAGAATTGGATGTCAGAACTAATATTAGAGTTCTAGACTACCCAAGGACAAATCTTGTGTTCCTAATAATACTGATAAGTTGTCAACAAAAGAATTAGCTTTTATCTCAAAGTAGCACAAGAAATGTTTTGTCCTGTAGTCAAATATCCAGAAACCCAGATTCAACTTTACTGAAGTTGTATGTTCCATAATGGTAGCAGTTCCATGAAGCTTTATAGTAACAAAACAATAAAAATTTAAGTCAAGACAATTCAAATACGTCGGTGGTAACATCAGACAGGTGGGTTACAGAAAAGATGGGAAATTTCAGCTATAGGTCTTAGATGCTAACTGACAGCATTTGGATGGTAGAAACTCAGTCTACTTGAACATTTCAAATGACTTACCTAGTGGCCACCAAGATGCTAGGTCACAAGAAGAAGAAGGTAATAAGTATCAAGTAATGATGATAAAGGTGGCCCAAGATAGCCTGGCTCTGGGCTTTCAACATTCAACTTCCCCACATCACTGAAGTCTAATCAGACACTCTTTCTAGTCACAGCTTTGTTCCAGAAATTCTCGCTCACAACATCCTTTCCATGCGTGCATTTTATTTCCACATTAAATGTAGGCTTCCTACATGTCACCTACACTCATTTTTCCACCATGATCTTGGGGACATGCTTACTTACTTGAGGATGGTGGTGTAAAACACCCACTGACAGAGGCAATGGTATTTGTGTGGAAAGAAGTGTCAACTCTACAATGCAGATAGATGGCCTATGGTCCCACTGCATTTACTCAGCCTAGACTTTCCCTGTAAAGATGTGTATAGAGAAGAACTACATTCCTTCCACCAAAGCCAGCCGTTCCAGGTAAACTTAGACTATGGTGTTCCAAGAAGGTCTTTTTTCTCATCTTTGATTGCTGAAGATCTTTCAGGCAACATAAGTAAAAGTCAGATAAAGACTTTTAGAGGAACACAAGAGTACTTGGCTTGGGACTTAGTGGCTTGGTCCAGGTTCTCAGTGACTCTGACAGCTGGTGACCTTCTCTTACTCCTTATCTATAAGACAATGGGCATGGGTCAGGTCAACATCAGAGTTTCCCTCCCATCCTAGCCTTTGTTCAGTTAGATACTTCTGTGTATCTACTCTGCTCTGATGACACATCTGTAGCTTCTCTTGTTTGCAGACTGCAGTGAGGACCTGTTTCACTGTGGCACAGGCAAGTGCCTCCACCACAGCCTCGTGTGTGATGGGTATGATGACTGTGGGGACCTGAGTGATGAGCAAAATTGTGGTAAGTAGCTTTGATTCCTTAAAGGATTTCATTAAAAACTACAGATATTTATGACTAAGAACTAATATTTGTCTGTTTCCTAAATAACGAGAAGGTTCAGTTACACAAGATTAAACAAAACAATAACAACAACAAACCTCTTCCTTTTTTAGAAAGAAGAGTGTGCCCAAACACTGCTCTCAGTTGTCCCTTATGGACCAGCATCCTATGTCTTGCCTAATAGTCACACACTAAGGGCGCATTAAGGAAATGCAGTGGGAAGATAATATGGTTGCCAAAGTGCTAGCGTTTTCCTGTGTTGTGTTCTGTTTCTCTTCTGGCTAGAGCTGTCTTGTGTTTGGATTTTGAGCTCCCGAGCAAGACTGTGCTCAGAGATAAATTACGAAGTACAGCATATGACCAGACTCCCACCCTCCAGAGCAGCTGACTTCCAAGCACTGTAGCGACTCCTTGCACAGTATGTCCACCAAGGATTAAGATGACAGATTGCTTTTATGTGCAAAGGATTCTTTCTTATCTTCCCAAGCACGAACCTTCCTTTGAAGGAGCATATTCAACTCTGCGTTATGTCTTTTGACTCTAAACCAGAAAAAAATAACTCTAACTGATTGATCTTTATAGTTTTGTGATTAGCTTTATATTTTATGCAATATATTGACAGTAGGACCTTAGTGGTGTGTACCAGAGAGCAGGCTTGAATGAAGGCAAATGTTGAACAGTGGTCAGCGTTAGAGACTCTCTAAAGGGATGCGAGGAAGAATTGGAGTATGAGGCAGAAGAAGTCTTGGAGTGCGAGATGGTCAGAAAATAGCCCCAAGCTGGGAAGTTTCCACAAGTATTATCTAACTTCCCCTCACCAACTCCATAAAATATTGAAAACTCTAGGTGTATAAGCCACTCACTAGTGAATCGATATATGTGGGACTGTATTTGGGGCAAAGGATATGAGACGATTGGAGTCTTATTTATCACAGAATCTAGTGTGAGGAACCCTCACAGTTCATGTTATCCACACCCCTCCATTTTCCAGTGAAGTAAGGGAAAGGAGAGGTCAGGAAAGTGCCACGGTAGGACCAGTTTAGAATCTGGGCGTGCTAGTGGGTAGTGTCCATGTATAAAAAAGAATTGTTAATATCAAAGGCCCCTGAAGATAAGCAATTGTCACAAAGTTTTCAAGATACCTTCGTTAAGTAGCAGAAATTATAATGTTTCTTTGGATCTGTCATTGCCTTGTTCACTGTCTTTGGTGAACCGAATCCGGGTGAGTCTGGTTCCCGCCCAAGCTCCTCTCTTATGGTCACTTCTTTTCTCCACACCATGCCTTCTATATTCTCTCCTTCATTTCTCTAAAATATGATTTATGGCCCATTGTTGCTTAGGAGCTTATGCCAAAGGCCATGTACATGAATACACAAGAAAGTTTATCATTTTTTCATCTGCTATTTTTAAATCCATACCTTTAATGGAGCTGTTATGTTTATGTTACAACACTCATCAAAATAAAGCAGTGTATAAACTATTCCCTTTAAGACAGGAAACTTGTCACTTAGTAAACTCAACCTCTTACCTGCCAAATTCCAGGAATGTGTGGATTGGGGCAGAGTATATATCCAGATGCAAAGAAATCATAAAAACAATAATAACGGTTTGCCTTTCTTGTTTAGCAGTTCTTTCAAACATGAGCTATAGATTAAGATAATCCAGTAGAAAACCTGGGCTTAGCATCAGGAGGGATGACATAAGAAGGCTCTCATCTTTCCAGCTTGCCAGAGAGATGTTGTAATTCTTAGGAACACAGTGGACTTGTTACAGACACATCAATCAGGCATCTGCATCTTGAAGCTCAAAGCTTGCTCTGTTCACTTGACTCAGGTTAAAAGTCATAGATTTATTTTTTTTCCTAAACAAGACATTCCATAATTAGACACCCGTCCTGGATAACAGATGACTCTTTGCCCTCACGGATGTGGACAGTGGGGCTCGACCTGGTAGAAGGTAGCATTTGAACTTAGCCAGATCTATCCGAGGAACATTAGCGATAAACTGGACCGAGAGTGTCTTCAGCTGGAACTGTGAGCAGCACAAGTCTAAGGGTTTCCCGTACATTTTCCCCTCTTCATGACTTTTCCTTTTCTCCAGATTGCAATCTCACAAAAGAGCATCGCTGTGGAGATGGGCGCTGCATTGCGGCTGAGTGGGTGTGTGATGGGGACCATGATTGTGTGGACAAGTCTGACGAGGTCAACTGCTGTGAGTCCCCCAAGATGTTTCCTTTTGCTTGTTTTTCTTTTTTCTTTTTCTGTTCAGACTGTACGTTGAAATCAAAGTCCATTATTTAAGCAGCACTCAGGGAGGATGGTTCTTGAGCCATCACTCTATCTGATTCTGTCTTCTGTCTGTGAGCAGCACACTCAAGAGGTGTGAGAACAGTAAGCTTATCGCTGCCACTTCAAGCCCCTTCCTCCAAAGTTCACAGTTAAATGAGCTGATCTGGTCCAGCAGTGTCTGCTTTTTCTCTGGCTACTCATGGATTCTTCACACTTCTGAGACTTTTCCTAGAGCAATTTTCTTTCCAGAAACCAAGCAGCCCCCACACCTTTCTCTGCAAATCATATATGAGCATCTCAGCCTCCAGGCATGCTCTCCGGAGCCATTTGTGACTGAACAGGGGAGGAGAGCCAGAGAGAAGGGAGTCTGTTATAATCCTATGGAACACAGAAAGTGTGTGAACATGATTATCATTTTATAGCAGGCTATGTTTCTAGATAAATGAGACCTTGTTTGCACATCAATCATGACAAGTATGATTGTTAACCATGTTTTTCCTCTTGGAAAACATACTATCCCCTTAGAGAACAGAAATGAAAAAAAAAAGTTAATACTGGCAGTTGCATGTTGAAATACTACAACAGACCCAAAATGATTAAAATGATGTGTCATATACATTTGAACTAAACTTTTAGTCCACTTAGTAGAAATGGTTGGCACACAGTTTCCCCGCAGTATCTGCATGGATTACAGGGCTCTGGGTGGATATCACCATCTGAGGATGCTCAAGCACCCTATGTGTGTAATCTCACTTCTTCTGTACACTCGTCAGTCATCTCTAGTTCACTTACACTCCACAATCCAGTGTGAATGATCTGTTTTTATAATGAGTTGTTTAAGAAATAATAATACTGAAAATACTCTGCACATGTTTAGTATGAATATGTTTGCCTCAATATGTTTGATTTGTTATTATCTGAATCTGTAAGCTCAGAACCCATAGACGTTGCATATGAAGCTGAATGTTTATTTGGTTTATACTGTAAGGCAAAAATTGAAGTGTAGATAACGTAGTTTGTATTCTGATGTAAGAAAAACTGTATTAAAAAGTGCCATAAATATGATAGCTGACCTTCTCTTTCCCTGTGTAATTTGAAGTCCTTACTTTCTGGATTAATGGGACATATTGGGTGTATTAAAGTTCTGGGGAGAGCAAGCCCACGATGGCCAAATAAAATACATCTCGTGAGGAGCCTTGATTCAAGAAGTGGGTCTTAATGTTAGATGACAATTCAGTGAATACTGAGGTCACATGACACATAGGTTTCTGATGGTTTTGAACATTGGAGGTACAAAACTTTGAGAAATCTCAAGAATCAGAAAGCTAAAAGGTAATCAGACACCCTCCTTTCAAATACTAGTCATAAATACGTTAGACAACAAAGTGCTCACTGTGTAGTAGGTATTGTGGGAGTTCTTTCAAACGCATTATCCCATTGGCTCATTCAAGTAGGAAGCCATGGACTGGGGGGCTTGGGTACGGAGTCAGATAAAGTTGTTTCCATATTCTTGCTCTGTCTCAGTTCCCTCATTTTTAAAAACAAGAGCTGTAACATCTGTTTTACGAGGATCTGAACTTTATATATAAGACACACCTACCCCAGTTCTCACCACAAAACACACCCCTCATGAGTGCTGTTTTTATCATTGACATTGTCACTAAAAATCACTCAGTTCTTCATAAGTGTTCTTTCACAGTGAAGATAAATTCTTGGAAGGAGGAAAACCCTCCATTCCAGAAATTCTTGGAATTAAAAAGAAAAGTAGCGCTACATCTAGTTGTGAGTATGTACAACACGTCATTTGTTGATGCTGTTCATTTGAATGAACAGTAGGAAGAATCAATAAATAAGGTGACTACTCTCCTGGCCTCCCCTAGCTTGTCACAGCCAGGGCCTGGTGGAATGCAGAAGTGGACAGTGCATCCCTAGCACCTTCCAGTGTGATGGAGACGAAGACTGTAAGGACGGGAGTGACGAGGAGAACTGCAGTGACAGTGAGTGTCCCCAGGGTCCTCAGTGTCCCCATTGTCTCCAGTATTCCCAGGATGCCCAGTGTCCCCAGTGTCCTCCGTGCCCTCAGTGTCTTCAGTGCCCCCAATGTCCCCAGTCTCCAGAGCAGTCTTGTATTGGTAGATCTTTCTTTGGGGAACAAACCAGAACATTTGGGAGTTGCTTAGGCAAGATTTCCGTACACATGAATCTGGATTTTTCCAGTCACCTTTTCTCTTGGTAAATACATAATGCCTAAACAGCACAGGCTGGAAACTCATTCCCAAGGTCATATAGGCTTGAGATGGAGGCACATACTCATACTCTGTTGAGCCTGCTACGGAGCCTTCTTTTCATGAGGCTTAGTAGAGAGAAAACTTCAGCTCATAGCATGTGGTTAAGTGTGATTAGATTCCAAATAGAAGGAATTGGCTCATTAATTCAATGTAACTGGATCTTAATTTGGCCATGTTCAGAGAAACAGTTTAATGTTTCACATTGCCAAGCAACAGACTTAAGTATACTTTAAAAGGGAGACAATCTCTACGCATGGAACTTAAACAGGAAAGAGAAATTAAAACATGTTGGGTCTTAAATGTGTTCATCTGTGCTTTTTTTTAAAAAAAAAAAGGTTCCACACTGATTATTTTAAGACCTAATTTCTATAAAATCAGGCTTGTGGAATTCGCCCAACTTAATAACTTCCCATGTTGGTTTATATACTATCAGCATTGCACAGTGGGAATGCACAGGAAAGTTACATGCTTGGTGCTGAGCTTCAAGCTCTGGGCTACTAGTTGCTATCTCGGTGGCTGTAGGTGAGTCACCCTACCTTTCTAGGTCACAGTTTCTCCATCATCTCAGAAGATAATAACTGGTGTGCTGGGCAAGTGCTTGGGAAAAGCTGAATAAATATAGCCTGTTGTTACACAGCTAATATGGGGTCATTGTTTTTCTCCTGGGAATTCAATCTAACAAAACAAGTGATGAAGCTAGCTCTCCATCTCATGAGACGGAGAGCTTATGATCAATATCCAACCATGCAGCTCAGGCCGCACAGAATTCCAGATGCTGTGCTTCCGTGTGTCGTGCACACTTGGCAAAGAGCTCTTGTGAAAAGCTCATGCTGGAGACATATTAGAACATCAGGCTAAAGACTGAGAAGAGCTCTCTCAGAAGAGGGGAGCTCAGATGAGCATGGCAGACCCACAGCACCACATGACCAATGTCTTGAGATAGGAAAGGAAGGTGTTTTATGCTATATACAGAGCAAAGACCATGGTGTGCCTTCTTCTATGGGTGGTTTCTTGTGGCTTTTCTGCTTAGAAAGCCACTCGCTCTCCCCTTCTCATGAGAACTTAAACCATCTGACTGGAACGGTTCCTTGGGGGCCTAGTCCAAGCCCTAGTCTGCTTCAGGTGTTCTTGATAGACACCCCTGGTAAAGCCTCGTTTCACAGATGCATGAGGTATAGGTTAGGACACCATCCATGTTAGACTCAGAGATGCTGCACAGAGGGGGTGTGGCCTTTTGTCTTCCAGCATTTGGTTCCTGGCCACAAAACAGGCACTTAATATTTGCTTAACTATTAAATACATGATGTCTTAAAATATCATGAATTGCTTACACTTATGAAAAATGTTTAAGATTGCCTTGAGGGAGGAAAAAAAACCTGATGGCTTTAAATGACAACGGTGACATCTTTGATGCATGGTGACAATATATAACATTTCACACAAGAAGGCCTGGAGGGAGGATTTCAGTAGAATACCCATTGCCTTAGAATTATGGATAAGCATGATTTAGTATGTACATATATGGCTATATATCAATAGTACCTTGCAAGATATTCTGGATCCCAGATGGCATGTCTGAAAGTAATTGACCATAGTAATGGGAGAGACATGGAAAGAGAATGGGTAGCAATTTATTACTTTGTCTACTTATTCTACAAATAACCAGTGAATCAACAGCAAGGACGGTTTCCTTCCCACGTACCTTAAGGAAAAGCTAACAGGGCAAAGTCTTCTGCTGCCACTATTCATTTGGAAAGAAAAAGCCCCCAATGTTAGGTCATCAGAGATCAGGGATGCTTTCTAGGAATATCGGAAGTCTGGGTAGCAGCAGTGAAAGACTTACACTGTGATAGATGCCCTTTGGATATCAGGGAAAGTATTTTCCTTAAAGTGGAGACTTGGGGAGTGGAAGGGAAAATGAGTGTAAGATGTCATTTACAAACCAGAATGCCAATATCTTTGTGCCATCCTCTTGACCTCACATTGCTTCCATCTTATTTTGTTAAGTATAGGCACCTATGTAAAAACCGACTATGGTTTTCCCTACTAGAAGCAATCATCTGTTTCTTTGCTTCGGTTCTGTTCATTTGTATGGAGTTCTTTTGGATACTGGCCTGCACTTAGTTGGTGAGAGGATGAACCCATAGCATACTTCTTCCATATGTGTTCAATATTGGGAAGGAGATTGGAAGGAAATTAAAGTTGTATCATCCTTCAGTTCCAGCAGACATTCTTAGTTCTTCAGACAGAGGGTTGAGGATCTTCAGGTGATGAAAGCTATCCGGCTTTTCCCCTCCCACAGGTCAGACACCATGTCCAGAAGGAGATCGGGGATGCCTTGACAGTTCCTGCATCGAATCCTGTGCTGGTAACTCTCTGTGTGACTCAGACAGCGGCCTGAGTAACTGTAGTAAGTATAACAGCTGACACGGGCAATTTCTGTGACATCCAGCCTCTTCCTACCACATTGCCTTAAACTCCTGAAGTTGGAATTTCTCCAACAGAACACATATATTTGCTTTTGCTTTTGTCCAGAGGTTGTACTCGGTAGCAGAAAAGAACCAAAATGGTCTTCATTAACTAAATGAGAAACAAATGTGCGGCTGTGGGATGGGCCATCCATCCGAATTGCTTAATGTCACTACCACCACTCTCTTCTCAACAGCAGCTCCTATAAATTATTTTTGTGGACCCATCTGCAGGCAGATGTTATCTTCCTTCTTTTTTTTTTTAAAGCACAGCTTCCAAACTGGAGACTTCATCCAAGAAACAGATAGGAGTCTCATCCCAGCCGTCACATAAAATTTGGTCATTTTATGCTTCTGATAGATGCATCCTCACTGTTCCAAACACGTTGGTGGACTATTATGCTCTGGAAATCATTGCATTAATTTGTCTCATTGACAGTGTGGTGGCTCCAATGGTGAAAGCAGGTGGCTGTCTCTAAATTAGTTTTCAGTAGATTAGCTGAGGGGAGACAGAACAGCCACAAGTGAAGAATATCAAATAAACCCCCGTGGGAAATTTTAACTGAACTAGAAAATTTCCAAAGACTGATTTTTAGAAATGATTTGTTCCTCCCAGATCCAGTTCCTATATCGCTTCTCTCACTTGGAGTAATTAATTGTTTGCTGCATCCTCAGCTGTAGGTTGACTTACTTCATATTACATACCCTGTCCTTTGGAAGCTTTGAGGTTCATAGACTAAGGGGGCCATGCACTTCCAGTGGCCTTGTAACATTTGAGGTGAATTATATCCCAGGATATCAATGCCCATGGATGCTAAGAAACTCCTTTCCATATACAGCAAACACCCGGAAGATGTGATCTTCCGGGTGTTTGACACTAGCTTAGGCGATGGTCCTTCCATTATTGAAGGTAGCTTCTTCTGTACCTGACTTGCAGCCATCTCTCAAAGAGCCTCTGGGTAGATATGTGTGCTTGATTCTCTACATACGTGAATAAGTAGCATGTTCCTTTGTCAGTCTGTTCCTATATGTGAGAATGTGATTGTTCTATAATGCTTTACATCATTAACACCAATGGTGTTTAGATTATTGACCTCCGCCCCTCTCCGTGATGTTTGCTTTTTCCAATTGGAGTTTGCAAAGAAAGAAATTGGGATAATTGATAAGAAGTTATTTGAGGAAAAGTTGCTCATTTCTTCCTCCTTTTCCCTCCCCATCCTCCTCCTTTTTTTTTTCTTTTCTGTATCAGGGTTTCACTATGTATCTCCAACTAGGCTGGAACTCTCTATGTAGACCTGGCTGGCCTTGAACTCATAGATATCTGCTGGGGTTTGCCTCCTGAGTCCTGGGGTTAAAGGCATGTGCCAAACGAATTTATTTCTCTTCTTCAGTGCAAAATTAAACCTGTATAAGGAGAGAAAATGAACAAATAGACAGACATATGGTAGAATAGATTGTTAAAGCTGATTAGTTAGCTTTCAACAGCACTGTGTCTGGTTTGATACCCTTGATGTTGTGAGTGAAGAAAGTTGCTGCTCATTGGGTAGAGCCATTCACTCCTTGGATTCTAGTCTCTGAAGACACAAGTTCTTGCCATCTCATAAAAATTACATCATTTTTTCAGTGTTCTCTGAAGATGCATTGAGTAGGACTCAAGTCTTAGCATACCTTATATGTCCCCAGTGACTCCTGTGTGAAGCCATGGTTGACAATGGCAGCTCTAGTGGTCTGCTTGTGACTCAGCTATATGAACATGTGCCTCCTCTGACACTGGATGTAGACAGTTTTCATATTTCTCTATGATTTTTATTTTCACGAGAGCAGTGGTTTTCAACCTTCCTAATGCTGTGACCCTTTAATACAGTTCCTCATGTTGTGGTGACTCCAACCAAAAAAAAATATTTTTATTGCTACTTGATAACTACAATTTTGTTGTGGTTTTGGGTTGTAATATAAATATCTGAATTTTCTGATGATCTTAGGTGACCCCTGTGAATGGATCATTCAAACCCCAAAGGGGTTGTGGCCCACTGGTTGAGAACCACTAATCTAGCAAAAGCCCATAGTTTACTGTCCATTACTACAAATGGAAGAAATGAACAACTACCATTGCAACCCAAAAACCTCACAATTACATCTCTGCAAATGAGACAATGTACTGAAATGCTTACAGCATCACTGGAATGACTTTGAATAGCCTGGGCTATTCTGTCCAGTGCCTCCTTGGCATCTTGACATCTCCATGCCTTTCAGGGAGCAAATTGCAGACATAGCCTTGCATTAGGGATTAGAGGTTTATCATGGAACAGAGAAACCAACCCATTACATCTCTCATAGGATACAGCACAGGCAACTGGGGGAACCAGCTGGAAGGTTCGTACTTCCTCTTTCTACCCACATTCATCAAGACCCTAGGAAGCTGGTGTGACTGCCATGCCCCTTAAGTATTTTCCTGTGTTCCCCGTGTTCTATTTGCCTTTACTTCAATATGGCACCTCACCTGTTCTCTTACTCCATTTTCTAAGGCTCCTATTGAACAGTGAGGAAGAGGAAAGGGTGAATAACTTTGCCCTAGTTATAACTTCCTTCTCGCCTCCAACTGATTTTTGCCATCTGATTTTTACCAACTCCAGTTGGAAGAAACAAACATCACAGGGCCCATGATCAAGAAGCCAAACATCAAAATGGTTGAAGACTTCAGTTCCTGGTAGAAAACAGCAGATTGGGGGCACAGAGGGGAGAGGGATTTTGTCTTTCTACAAGTATTCCCACCCGCTGAATGAGGAGTAGATGATTAGTTGACACATTAGTCCTGGATGACAATTGGTTGATAAATCAAGGCATGAGACATCTAGAGCTGTTGACATCACAATGAGAAAGAATCAGAGACTGTGTGGCTGCTGAGGAGAAGATGCAACAGCTGTCTACAGTCCTGGCAAGCATGCAAAGCCTAGGCAACTATCCTGGTTCTGCTGCTGAAGTTCAGGGCAGCTCACAGAAGGTTCTAAATAATAGTGATAGGTAGGGGTTAAGAGCTTGCAGCAGAGTGTCTGGTTGGTGTGACTATATGTTGAAAGTGTCACCGTTTCCTGTAAATAGTTATCACTTAAAACCCAGTTCCCAGTGACTCGTCAGCTCTGTAACACGGGTAGTTCACAATCCCATCTTCATATGGAACTTACTCACTCTTGTTGCAGACTTTGAAAATCAGATGCCATTGACAGAACACTAGGCCTTTAAAGACAGACATTTATTAAATCTGATCTTCAGGACCCAGTGAGCACCTGTACAGAACCCTTGCAAGCTGGACCAGTTGGTCTACACTAAGCAGCGTTGCATTTGTGACATGATCGCCCTCTAGTGACTATTTCATACTCAGCTTGGTGTCCTATAAAAGTTTATTGATCAAAGCCACCGAGTTTGGATTGGATGAGAATCTAAGAGTTTAACTTGTTCAGCAATCTGTAAAGAATGCTTTTTTTTTCCTTAAGGGAAAAATCTGTAAGATCCATTCCTTACTTCACTCACTACAAATCTTCAGGATAATGCACGCTCATCACATACTCCTTCCAGAAACACTGAAAGTTAAGCTTTGAGAAATCAGAGGTGACTCGTTCTCCATACGTCAAAACAGAGAGAAATTATCTATATAATATTATCTGTTCACCACCTAATAGGAACACATTGATAAAAAGTTAAACCATGGTAGGGTGGTGAAGGAAGAGAGGGAAAGAAAAGATGTGTAAGAAAAAGAAGAATTGCCTGACACATCTGTGTGAATAACTCCATTTTATAAAGTTATAAATATATTAGGTGAAGAAGAAAAAGGCCTCTTTTTCTCCTCATCTCTGGAATTGAAGGTGCTTGTGATAAGAAGCCTGTAACAAAAGTGACAGGAAGAAGAGTGGGAATGGTCTGATTCTTCATTGGCAAAGGCAAACGTAGATCTCTGGGAATGTCTGTGTGTATGAGTGTAAGTACGGAAAGGCATGGGAGTGACTTTAAAGTCTTCTGAAGACTCTGGGGGAGGCAGCAAGAAAAAAGTAGGGGAGATAATAAACTGCTTATGAATTTTGGTATTATTCCTTAAAAAAAAGAAGATCTTTTGAAAATGTGAACACAAAATTTGAAAGTTCCCATTGGTTTTGCTCTGAGCAGATGTAATAAGTTACTGGTAATTAAGTGGCTTAGACAGTAGACATTAATATGTTACAGTCCTGGCGTCTGGAAGCTCGAGGTCAACCGTGCCAGCAGCATAGCCCAGATATGGACCCTTCTCAACCACAGGAAGTCAACTTCTTTTTGTATCTGATATGCTAGGATGAGAGCGGGAGATTTCTCTGGGATCCTGTGTATAGGGGCACTGACCTCATTCCCAAAGACTGCTCTCATGACCTAGTCACCTTAGGAGGGCCTTATCCACCAATACCATTACACAGTGGGGGAGGAGTTAAGCTTATGACTCTGAGAGAATAAAAAGGGTCCTTCACTCCCTTTCTTCATAAATGCAGGTGACAATAAGGACCAAACTCTTACCTTCTCTCCTTCTTGTCTCTCCGCCTTGCATTGCCCCAGAATGATGCCAGTTCCCTGGTGTCCTGGCTCCCCCAAGAAACAAAGATTTGTAGCATATCTTGTCAGTGACATTTTAATCTAGTTCCTTATGAATATTGTGTCTATGAAGCTCTCATCATCTCCAGATTAATAAGTGTCCCGAGGCTTATTTCATCCCAGTCCATATTACTTATTTGTTTGTATCATACCACTTTTTTTAGACAAACAAGAATTATTTGAATAATTGCTTGTAATAAGGTGTGGAATCTTCAGCGTGCCTAGGTCAATTTTATAACATATGTCTGATTAACTCTATTACCTTGGAATCAATGGTATATCTTCTGGGATCACTAAATCTACTGCCTTCTCTCAAACCTGCCCAAACTCACCTGTCTTCCGAGGCTTGAATTGCTCTGGGTTATCTTGTGCTGTCCCTTTGAGCTTCCTGCATTTTGATCGATGTCACTGTGTTAATCCAGGCTATAATGGCAGAGTACCATAGGCTGAGAGGCATAAACAAAAAGCGTGTGTGCCTCACAGTTCAAGAGGCCGGAAGTCCATAATCAAGGTCCTAGCAGATTTGATCTCAAGGGAGGGCTTGCTCTCTGCATAGTTTGCCAAGAGCTGCAGTCTTACTGTGTCTTTATATGACGATAAAAGCAAAGCTTTAAGGATGCTAACTCTACAATGAGTGTTCTCCTGACTTTTACATTGTATCTAATTACCCTCCAAAGCCCCGCCTCCAAATGCAGTACCATTCGGGGTTAAAGCTCCTCCCTATGAATTTGGGGGTGAGTGAAACATGATCCACGCAAACTTTACCCTAGCTTATTTACACATTCTGCAGTCAGTGCATGTGTCTTCTTTTCTTCCAGGACTGTGGAGTTCAAAAATGGCAAAAGCATGGTTTCTTTTTTAGTGTTTAGAATAGTCCTCGTCACATTGCCTCTCTTCTTCCATTCTCTGAGGTGAAGAGCTAAAGGCCATTTCTTTAAACTGTCTGACTGATGCTGTCGTCATAAGGTGGGAACGTTAGACTGTTGAAGAGTAAAGTAGCCTTAGACTCCAAGGTGATATGTTTGCATTTTATCCTCATTAGCAAGAAGCATCCAGCAGATCATAACCTCTTCTTAGGCTAACATATTATAGCCATATCTTTAAATTCATTGGTCAGTTAGCATAGGCTCAGAAACTGTCTAATTGCCCATTTAATTAAACTTACTGATTTTTTAAAATGTCTGTTGAAGATGATGACGCCTGTGCTATTTTAAAAGCAATGATTAAATCAGAAGAAAAAAAAGGAACTGAACAAAAGCATGATAAAAGAATCATTTTCAGATGAAGTTGAGTTAACTTTTTAAAAATGAGAAAGGGCTTTCTAAAATGCATGTGCTTGCCACACCACACACAGAAATGAACACAGGTTTGTCATGGCTCTTCTGAAGCAGGGTTTTGATGTCCATAGACAGATGTCATGTACTATTTGCAGTCTAATTTTTGCTACCCAGTCTCCAGGTTTCTTAAAACTTGCCCCTCACAACCCCTGTTTGTTTTAATTCCAGCTTCAGGAATGCAGGTATAGAAAATAGGAATACAAACTGAACATTTACCAATAACAACTCATATAAAATTGTTTTAAAACAAATCTTTGGTATATGAATAATTTTGCCATTTATTAGAGATAAAACAAATTTGAGTATTAATGAGATAAATGGGTTTATTTTACATAAAAATTAAATATTCATTGAATATTTGATATGAAACTGAGTGTTGTACCTCACACTTGTAATTTCAGAACTTAGAAAGCTAAACAAACATAGCCTTGGCTTTCTGGCTAACCTGAGCTATATAATGAGTTCCAGGGCGACCTTAGCTAGAGAGAAACAAAAATAAACAGTAGCAAAACAACCAACCAAATACCGAAACAGCAACAGCAAAAACAATCAATGCTGTAAGACACGGAGCGTCATTAATGTTTACAAAGTTGTCTCACGTTTAATTTTCTATTTCTCTACATGGATAATGCTGCCTTCACTTACATACATATGTAGTGCAAACTGGGAGAAGTATGTTTAGGGCTTTCAGAAACTGTGGGAAATGCTGTCCTGATCTCAAGACAAAATTCATAGAACTAGTTTTCATTAAAACTCAAGTCAGCCATTCAAGCATTCTAATATAGCACAATCTGAATATATACTAATATGATACATGCTAAAGAAAAGTGAAATATATTGTCTTTATTTCCTGAAATTAAAACATTTCATTTCTATACCAGCTAAAAACTTGATATATACAGTAAAAACACAGTAACTCATCATAGATGGTATTCTGGGACCTGAGCTGAGGTGTTTTGTGTTTCATGCAGGGTTTGTTACTGCCACACAGGATGTGACGGGATGTGGTACTGCAGAATGCATATGTCGTGTGTGTTCAAGGCTGAAGTGAAGTCACAGGATGCAACACTTGCAAGTGTCAGAGACATCTCTGATCCAATACACACTTTGTTTTGAATTAAGTTTTTGCCGTTGTATGCTCAGACACCATTGAGTCTTGCCAATTATTTTACAGGCCACATGCATGATTGGGTAGCCAGGACCCAGAGTTTTAGAAGCTGTGATTTAAATAGGGTAGACTTTGAGAGTGGGAAGATTAAAGAGGTTGTTTCTAATATTCAGATTTTTATGTGTTTTTCATTAGGTCAATGTGAGCCCATCACTTTGGAACTTTGCATGAATTTGCCCTACAACTATACACATTATCCAAATTACCTTGGCCACAGAACTCAAAAGGAAGCGTCCATCAGCTGGGAGTCATCTCTCTTCCCTGCACTTGTACAAACCAACTGTTACAAATACCTCATGTTTTTCGCTTGCACCATTTTGGTACCAAAGTGCGATGTGAGTACAGGCCAACGCATCCCGCCTTGCAGGTAAAACAGTGGGCTCTGTGCCAACAATCCTCGTGCTACCTCAGAAAGAAACCAAAAGAGCACAAAGTTGAATTTACACAAATAAATATTGCTAAGGATTCTGAAAGTTAATGAATTCCAAAGATAAGGAAGTGGGAAGAAAACGAGTGCTTGAGAAAGAATTCATCCTTCAAGCACCAGATGTGGAAGGCATGAATTTCCTTCCATCACAGGACATGTGATTTTATCTGGGTTCCATGTTGGAGGGTTGCAAAGTGACCTTTGGAATGTAAATTAGGGAGGGGATGCTGTTCCGTGGTAGCACATCCTTTAGAATGTGTGAGGACCTGGGCTGGACCACAAGTATTCCAAAGCAGCACAAGGCAAAACAAAAGAGAAGAGAGGGAACTGAGGAAGGCCTGTGCCTGCCATTTTGTCTGGAAACACTAATGTGCTTGCTTTTCTGACATTAGTTAAATGTGAACTTCACCAGTGTGTTAAAGATGCTGTACTTTGATAGTGTTTACAGGTTAGTATGACTACACAGGGAGACAGGAAAGCTGTCCACAGTGGGACAGCAATGCCCATCATGACATTTTTCTGCCTGTCTGAATGAAAGACATCTCAGGAACATTGACCCTTGGGTCTGGACAATATCCTGAGGTCCAGAACTGTGGAGTTTATTGCCAGCTTCAAGTCTTCTCTAGCCATTTTGTGCTCTTGAGACAAATTACTCAGTCTTTTTGGACCTCAAGTCCTTTGACTGGTGAAATAACTATTTTGTTTGCTGGGTTTTGTTGTAGTCAGAGTTCAAGAAAGGATTGTGGACTTAAATAAGTTCCAGGGCCTCTGAATTGGCTGCATACTCTACAGTAACTGACATAGTCATGAAGATAGCACATGGCAGCTGTGCCACCTTCTGGGCCACATGTAAGAGCCTGTAATCAGAGAATGTGCATATCTGAGATGACTGTCCCAGAAGTTACTGTTCCCACCATCTGCAATGCTGTCTCACAACCAAGGCTATGCAGATGTGCTTGCCTGAACGTGAATGGTAACTATAGAAACCATATGTTGGGATCAGAAGTCACACAGAGCTTTAAGAAGTGAAAATGATACCAGTATAGGGGACAGATGGGAAAACAATAAATTTAGGCTGTATATCAAGTGGATGATGAAGGAGGGGTATCTCTGGAGTCAGGGCAAGCAACAGTAAGATCTCAGAATGACTTGGGCAGCTGAACAAGTCATACAAGATGAGGAGAATAAAGTTTAGTGTTTGCTTGGGCTAAATTAATTCTGAAAGTTTTATTATATGCCCTTTGAGGTATTGTTGGAGTATCTACTGATTTCATATTGAAATTATTTGTGAATCTTATTCTAGTTTTTAAAAGCAAGGTTGATGATGGTAGTAAATTGCTTCTTTGAATAGGACCTCCCCAATTGTGTTTGATTTTTTTCATATCTACATAAAATTCCCCAATGCATCAATTTACTGTAGTTATAAGTGTATATCCACGTTGAATCTCATGGTTTAAGTTTTATAACCTAAAAGGACAAATAGTTCTGAGGTGCTATTGAATGAACATATTGATAAACTTCTTTTGGTGACCTTAACTCTGTTTCTTAGATTTAATAGTATGTCTTTCAATTTCAGTGCCAGCAATAGGAACATTTTGATATTTAGGCATAAAGATATTTTATTATAACATACTAATATGTTCCAAGGCTTATGGATTAATGCATAGCTGTTTTTACTGAGTTTGTTCATTAACCTTAACATTTAATTTTTAAGTTGCAAATCTGACAATATCTAGTCTTTCTGAGCCTCCCAATGTGGAAAAAGCTTGAGGGTTATCATGTCTCATGTTCAAAATCCCCTATGACTGAGTTGCACCATCATGACAAGTACCTAGCACTGAGGGCCACACAGATCTTGACAAAAACTTCCTTAAACTTTTGGTGGTGCTGTTAGTATTATTTCCACCTTCTAGTAAGATTCTAAAGTAATAGAGCAAATGGTTACCTTCAGATGACAGCTATGACTGAGCTCCTATATCTGTTGCATATCTGCAGCAGAACTTTAATGCAGTCGATTGTGCCTGAATAATATTGAACTTACTATTTTTTTCCAGCTGAATATGAGAATGGCCCATATTTCATCTTTGTTGAAAATTCCAAACCTAAACTAGAAACTGAGTTTTATCTTTAGAACAAATAAATAAGCAGTATTAATAGCAGGTGAAGACGGGGAAACAGAGGCAGAGCCCCAGATGAGCCACCATAACATGTGATCCTCCGCCAATATTCATCAGAGGACAATCGGTTGGAGTCTTTGGTCCATGGTGAACCAAAGGCTAGAGAATGTTTACCCAAAAGACAGAAAAGTAGAAAGCCAACGGGAAGGGGATCTGAGGTTGGAGAATAGTTAATATTTTTGTCTGCAGTAGTCTATTGTAGTGAAGGCAGCTGGGTCCTCTTTATTGAGATATTGCCTTGTTTGGCTTTCCTAAGGAACAATTACATATATGTGCATGCCTATATGTTTCTACACATTTCCTTACACATATAGTCCCACATAGAATTTAAACCCAAATGCACTCTGAGCATACGTTTCCTATGGAGCGATCTGGTTTCTGACGCATTGTCTTTCTGCTCGTAGACTCCTGTGTGAACACTCTAAAGAGCGTTGTGAGTCTGTTCTGGGGATCGTAGGCCTCCAGTGGCCTGAAGACACAGATTGCAATCAATTTCCAGAGGAAAGTTCAGACAATCAAACTTGCCTCCTGCCCAATGAAGACGTGGAAGGTTAATGTTCCAGTTTATTCCAGTAGGGCATCTAACGTGGATGGACGAGTCAGCCGCTTTTTGCAGTCTCTGAGTTAGGGAGGGCTGTCGTTGGTTTTCTACTTAGTTCTCAGTTAGGTTGTGTAGGTGAGTGAGGCCCAAAACTACTTAATTGCTCTAGAAGAGAACTGGCACCTATTGGTTCGCAGTTGTCATTAACTATCATTTGTGAAATAATTTTAAGCAATAAAAATGAACCCAGAGGTGAGCTTAGTCATCCAGGTATTTCATGCTTTATGCATACCTCACTGGTTAGTTGTGGATACTGTTTGTTTGAGGAGCCATGAAGCTAATGACAAATACCAAGCCTTGGTTCTTCCAAGTTATTAACAGAACGGTTATTAATAGAAAAGTAGACTTGGGGACTGGTTCATCCAATGAGAGGCTAGAACCTCTGGGAAATTAGGATCATGGATTGCATAAGGGATTTCAGGCTCAGGCTGTTGTTGAGTGGCTATTTAGAAAGGTGATCTGAAGAGATGGTACCAAGAATTAAGGAGAAGGACGGGGATTAGCAGAGAGAAGAGAGACAACGTGTAGAGCCACATGAAATAAGTGTTTCGGCTGTGAGGAGACCTGTTCTTTCTTTAGTGCTTCACCCCAAAGGGAAGCACATGTGTAGGTTGACCCCTTTGTAATTCTGTCCGCTGAGAGAAGCACTGCTTTTTGACAGAATGTTCTCCAAGTCACTTCAAGTGCCGCTCAGGACGGTGCGTTCTGGGTTCCAGACGATGTGACGGCCAAGCTGACTGTGATGACGACAGTGACGAAGAGAACTGTGGTATGTATGTGAGGTGGCATTGTCTTTAATGTACAGTAGTAACCATCAAGAATAAGGAACCGTGTTGGAAAACGTAAGCAGTTTGCTTATTCTAGGAAGTGGCGTCTGACCTAACAATGCATTTAATTCTGAAGGCAGTAGACCATAAGTCATGACTTGATATGACTGTTCTTCTCTGAAATTACATTTTAATCTATAATAAAGTTACATTTCAGTTTATAGCCTTACATATATGAATAGTAAAAGAGAAAAGAAACAGTTCGTTAATGTGAGGAACCATTTTTGTTATTAAATTGCAAAACAGTTGTTATCTGGTTTCTGGGAAGAATACCGACGTCTTGGCATAGCCTTCCTCGGCCACTAATCAGGCATCTCCATCCATGAAGACAGTTCAGGCAACAGCACTCACATTTAATTAAGATTCATTTTCATTCCCCTCTCACTTTGCCTCTGTTGAAAAGGATAAAATTCTCCCTGACACTTGTGTCATTGAGCCCTAGCGTCACCAGTGCGGAGGCTGGAGATGCCAGTGCCAATTTGAACACAGCCATACTCAGTTTATTTTCGTGAAAACTGTGGTTCTTGTATGCTGAGAGCATGCCATGGAGCAGAAAACAGATAATGCTTTCAACAATCAATGCCCAGGACAGAGCAGGATGATTGAAGTGCTATCTAAAAACTAGCTTGCTTGTGTTTATTTAGCCTGTCATACCCCAAAATAAGACTGACACCTTATTCACTGGAAGCACATAAGGCAATATACATTTTAAGATCATTTTATTCCATTGGGTTTTGAAGTATGAAATATTGCCTTCCCCCTCGAAATGAATTTTTGTAGTAAACACTGTCCTCCTGGTCAAGACAAAATGTCGTAAGCAATCAACTGAACTATCGGCTACTATAAATAAGGACAAACGCATCTTCTAGAAGATTACAACTGTCAGGATGATGGTACAGAGGTCAGTGCAATTTTGCTGTGGGGCAATATTTAATAATTTGAGAACTTACTATAGTTTGCCTGTTCCTGTTGGTGAGCTTTTTGTAAAAAATATATAAAAATAAAATCACTCACTGTCATTTGAGTGGTGTGCCAATAATGTACTAGATTGTTCACATAAGAACATTGGTATTCTAAGGTATGGCATCCTAAGGTATGATTTAAAATGGATTAACTTAGAGTATTCAAAGTGGTCCTATGACACCATTGAGAAGACTAAGTCTAGATTTTTATCAGGTAACTAAATATTTGGCCAGTGCTCAGCTGAAAAAAAATCGTTCATGCTGCTTGGGGGTGCACATCTGAAATCCCAGCCCTTGGGAGGTAGACGGAAAAGGTTGAGAATTCAAGGTCACCTTCAACTACACAAGGAGTTTGAGGCTGCTAATTGAGGTTCTGAGTCAAGAAAATCACAACAAAACAAATAAAATACATCTTGCCAAGAATAAATGGTCTTCATTCTAAAGTATACTATGAAGCATAAATTCATAGTACTGTTATAAAGTACTTAAATAGATCTGAAATATCAACATTATAGTTAAATAACGAGTTTTCATTAGAATTTTTCTCTTAAAAGAGAAAATACCACAAAGATAAAGTAAATGTCTTAGTCAAGGTTTCTATTCCTGCACAAACATCATGATCATGAAGCAAGTTGGGGAGGAAAGGGTTTATTCAGCTTACACGTCCACATTGCTGTTCATCACCAATGGAAGTCAAGACTGGAACTCAAGCAGGTCAGGAAGCAGGAGCTGATGCAGAGGCCATGGAGGGATGTTACTCACTGGCTTGCTTCCCCTGGCTTGCTCAGCTTGCTTTCTTACAGAACCCAGGACTACAAGCCCACAATGGGCTAGGACCTCCCTGCTTGATAACCAATTGAGAAAATGCCTTACAGCTGGCTCTCATGGAGGCATTTCCTCAACGGAGGCTCCTTTCTCTGCGATAACTCTAGCTTGTGCCAAGTTGACACACAAAACCAGCCAGTACAATAAACTAACCTTTATTTCATTTTCAAAATATCATGTCAAAATACCACTGATAGCTCGGATGTGAGAAATTAAAAACTGAGAAGAAATTAGTTCATTAGGAGCTAAACAGATTGCTTTAATGGCAATAATTTACATGAGAAACATTTGCACTGAGTTTTCCAAAGTGACCCGCGATGGACAAGTTCCCCTTCGGCATGCATGCATGCACTCAGATGGGCTGTGCAGTGTGCTGAGAAGACACATTGCTGGTGAATAGTTAAGGAAGTGAGGTTGACAGGCCACAGGGGACTCTGGGTACGTCATCCAGTTCATGCTCTGTTGTTGTCCTCTGATGTCACGTGCACATATGCCTATGTGACAATGGAGCCAGGGAGGCTGGGCTGCATTCCACCTTTCTGTCACTCTGATGTATTCTATGCCTCCTGTGTTGAAGGCACTCAGTGCCTGGGGTTGCCTGTCATGAGTCTACAGCTCACATAGAAGTTTTAACAACACATCTGTGGGGGTTCCCTTCCAAACAACACTACCTTCAGTTAGGAAGCATCCGATGTGTTAGAAATTAAATTGATTGTATGTTTCTTTAGCAATTTTGTATCTGGAAATGGGATTGCCGAAGCACATTAAATTATAGTTGTAACTTTCAAAATAAACGAACTTAGCAAGGAGAGATTTGCTCATAGCAGGCTCCGGAATTTGTGATAAATTTCTCACTGATTATGTATGCAAGCATTTTAAGGTTTATTAATAGTCAGTGTGTTTTCAACAAATGCTTAGAAGAACCATGCAAGCCCGAAGGCATCACTAAAGAACTCACTCACAGGCAGGGAACCTTGGAGACGTGGGAGGGATTAGCAGAGTCAGCACTTCCTCATCTTATATGTTGATAGCTTGTCAGTGATAAAATATATAAAATTTCCATATACAGTTAAACTAGCAACTTGATAAAAAAAATCAGTTTATTTCCAGCATAGCACTGTGTGGAGAATAGCCAGTCCTGAACAGAGTAGCAAACATGAAAGACAAGAAGAAGACAGCCACGAGATTCTGTACTTGATTTTTGCTGCCAAACTTTGACATTGACCGTGTAAGGCTGAGGTTTGCTTTCACTGGGGTTTATGACCACAGTCTGGGCAAGCTATGATATAAATGCGGTGTTACCTGTGCTCTGATGCAGACAGTGGGTCTTCTCTGTGGGGCCATTAAAAAATATGGTTTAAGCAAATTCTTTATATCTAATGTAAAAATAGAACCCTTAGTTACCTGAATGTAGCATCACAACCAATAATGACTCCCTCTTCTGAGTATTATATGATGGAATTCTTCCATGCAGAGAAGGCTGGACAGCAGTACAAACTGTAGAGCAGCTTCATATTTGTCTTCACATTAACGAACAGCACCTTTATCAGTTATACTTGGTCCTTTATAAAACTCAGATAAAACAAAAACTTTAGATGTAACCAGAACTTTTTCTCAGAGTCCTATCCTCTGGAGATCCCCGTAGCTTATTATTGTAATACTTTGAAGTTTTATGGAAGGTTTTGTATATTTTTTGTACTCTTTAAGAGCACTGAGATAATTTACCACTCAAAAGCTTTGCTTATGGACGGGACCATTCTGCTTGGTGGCCATCAGAAGAGAGACTCATTGTGTCTGCACATGGAGCATACCCCTAAGTGTGCTTTGGGGATGAACCTGTGGCTTGATTTCTGATCTCTCAACAGACTCCCACTAAAGGAGAAGCGTGATCTCTCTCCCTTTGGTACTTTGCTGCTTGGTTCACGAATCATCGTCTTATATTGAGTACTGGATGGGCTTCTCAGAACGGCAGAGTGCATTGCAGAGACTTAGGTTTGGCTTCCAGGCTACATTCACAGGACCTGTCGATTTTAGCTTGCCATTTGGTGCTTGAGCTAGCCGAGTTCTGTGCAGATCAGGACTTAATACCTCGCCCAGCACTGCCCTCCTTTGGTGTGCCTCTCTAGTTTCTCCTGTGCTGGCCGATTGTTTTTCTAACAACCCCTGCAATTTGGTCTCATAACCTAAAGCTACGTGAAGTGTCCTATCTGATCCATATTTGTTCGAACACATACTCACATCAAAAATGTCACTTTATAGACAAAGTGGTCCCTTCACAAATAATACTGCCTTCAACGTGACAAACGATATGACCTCCTCTCGCTTCATTTCTTCTGTTCTTAACATCTTTATTCCCAAGAGATGTTTGCTTATACGGACTTTTCTAACAAAAAAGTATGCACGAAGGAAACATTAATGTCACAGAGTACTCATTTAAGGTTGGAGAATGAGATACACAGTAGGTAATGAATGCCATTATTGTTGGTAGTGCTGTTTGTGTGAGTATACACCTCAGCATGCCTTTTGCCCTGTGACCTGTTCCTCTGCTGGTTTTTATATTAGTCCCTTCAAAGTGTACAAATTCTTCATTGTTTCAAAGGTCTCCTTGCATCAGACTTCTTTCTCCCATCCCCCACAAGCCTAGTAGTTTTTCTGCTGCCACCGCCACCACCAACAACAACAATAACAACAACAGTCACATTTTCTGTGTTTGCACTGCTTCCTGATGGAATGAGAGTTTAGGCTGTTGGACAGGAACTGGTGCACATGGGCAGATTTCAGGGTTCCTTTTCAGTCTCTAGAAGACATCACTGTCATAACATTGCAGATAGGGCTGGCATCCTCTGCCAGCTGGAAAGTCAATCCCTCTCAATGAACTCATTCATCGAATCGACGTCTGGACCTAAGGCCACTCCGGGTGAATGGCCAGTGTAGGTCTCTCACCATTTATCTCTCACATATTTGGGTGACAGAACACTCTACATCTAATTTTAGCTCAGTGAAATTACTATTCTGGGAAAGAATTTTGATCCTTGTTTTGAATAACCATTTTTAACAGTGAGATGCTTTTTCCAATGGATTCCAAGACTCCTGAGTTAATCATCCGTGAGAGCTCTCTGAATTCTTTGTAATAGGTCTGATGAGACACAGCATTTAACAGTATCCTGATTTGGTCACTGCTTTGTGATCTAGATATCTTAAATTATGTTTTCCTGAGAACCAGAGGTTTTTGTTCCTTAGATGAAGTGAAGCTGCATTTGAATTAACCATGTATTGAGGGTCTAGCCTGAACTAATGACTGTTCTCAGAAAAATCACTGACATCAGAAAGGTCAAGGGAACACTTGACTATAATCAGATAGGTGGGTCTCGAGGTCAAGGATAGCCTAGACTACAGGTGAAAGCATCTCAAAACCTGAAATATGTAAAAATTTAAAGCTAGGAAATATTTTCTTTCATATCCTCTCAGGATGGTCAGGACCCTGGGTCTTCTGAGGTATCTAGTTACAGTAGAGTCTTGGCATTTCTTAGAAGACATTCAAACACACTGCACTTAACCAGGTGATATGTAGTAAATGTAGTCTAAGTGTTCGCTCCTTGACGGGAAATTGAAGTTCAAGTTGTAAACCTACAATCCCTTATCTTTTCCAAATCATTTCCATTTTCCATACTAACTGATGAGGTCTCCAACCTTACATCTCTGGGCCAGAAAAAGTAATGAATTTTGCACCTGGCTCTTAAATGAATTTTGTAAGTACTTAACATATAAGGGGCCTCTTTCATGAAACACAGATGGTCCCTCAGTTTGTAGACTGTAATTACATTTTAAGATTGTACGGATTTACATCTCTAGGTTTTGGCATACGTGCTTAAAAGCATGACTCGCTTTTATGGATGAGCCGTGCATGTTGGCACGCAGACACAGAAAGCAAAAGGAACAACTCAGGAAGGATGCTAATGCGTAGCTGCTTTTTCACGTTTTTCCACTTCCTGTATGTTGATTTGGATCTTCTGTTAGGCATGCTGTTCTGTTCACCCGGCAGAACGGAGACTACTGTTTGCTCCTACTTTCAGGATTGCGTGATTCCTAGTAATCACAGACGTCCAAAGTCTTCAAGAAGAAACCAGACCTTTATTCTAAAGAGTTTTTTTCAACATTATTCAATTACATTTCACCATCATTTTCAACTGTGCATCTATCACTAATAGCTTTTTCTTCTGTTTCCAGGTTGTAAAGAGAGAGATCTTTGGGAATGCCCATTCAACAAGCAGTGTCTGAAGCATACATTAATCTGTGATGGGTTTCCAGACTGTCCAGATAGTATGGATGAAAAAAACTGCTGTAAGTGCCTTTATGAATTTGTTAACAAATGGTGTTTTGTATTTTAAATACCCATCGCTTCACTTTAAATATAAGCTAGAAATTTGGAAATACATACAAAGAGTTTTTAGTTTGTTTGGTTCTTTTGACCAAACTTATGTCTACAAAGGTATATATTCCAAAAAAGACTAATGTTTTTTAAATACATACAAATATTATTCTAACAATAGGAAAACATTAAAATACCTCTTTCCTGTGTCCAAAATGGAAGACATAAAATATAACCGTAAGATTAAACACATTGTCAACATTAAACTCACACTGCAGAATTATTTGACCTGGGTTCCTTACATATCTTTAGTTGACGTGTTAGTTGATTTCCCATTAGTTAACAGAATACCCAAGAGAGTCAATGTAAGAAGTTGGGTTTATTTTGCTTAGAATTTAGGATGTTTCAGTCTATGATTTAGAGGTGAAGAAACAACAGAGAAGCATATTAACTTCAAGGCTGTATGTTAGAAAAGAAAACGAAGAGACTGAGGTCCCATCATGTTCTGTCAGGATATGCTTCCACTGGCTTCAAAATATCCCTCACATCTTCCCTATTTAAAAAAGCAGTTCTTCAGCTTTCCAATTGTATCACAAGCTTGAGACTAAACCTCTAAGAAATGGCCTCAAAGGACACTTATCACAAAGACAGCAGTTGAGTGATAGGAAATATACAGAAGTATGTGCAGTTTGCCCTGAGTTTTAGAACTAAATATACATAGGTTAAGAGAACTTCAGAAGGTCATGAAAAGTTCACACTTAACTACGGTGGTGGTTTTAAGTTTTGTGTGCTTTTGAAATCTTTTCCGTCTAAATGATATATAGCCATCACCTTAAGATATTTTACTTACAATTAACAGAAAGCTCAACTCAATCTAACAAAAAAAATGAAGACATTTGTTATCATGTCTATTATACATGTCTTATATTATTATAGTAAAAAGCATGGTAGAATGGATCCACAAGGCTACAGAGAGTTGAGAAATACATCATCATGTCTGTGACTCATCTTAGCTTGACCTCAGGGCGGATGAGCTGCCTTGATCATATTCAGTAGGAAGAAGGGACGATTCTGCTCCTTATCCTGGAATGTCACTAAGGGATTCTCCACGGGTCAACACTGGGCAGGGTGACAGCCTGTAGCAAGGGGCTTCTGTGTGGATTAGGAAAGACATTTTCTACAAACTCTCAAAACACAGCTTCAGGCAGGGAGTAGGAAAAGCTGCCTGCTCCAGTCTGGCCCGGTTCCAGGCTCAGGTGCATGGCATGGTCAGCAGAGTTTAGGCGCATGCTATTTTGCAATGTATAAATCATCAAATCATAGAGCAAGGGTCTGTTGCGGGATTTCATTTAATCCTGGACTGATAATTACTCTCCGATAAGAAATATGCCATGCCGATGTTAAAGTAATCAACGTCTTCCTCTGGAATGAGGGATGGTTGGTATGAAGCCCTGGACAAAATCAGGTTTCCTTTTCATGGAAGGTAGACGGGAAATGGATGCTAAGTAGGCAATCAAGGAGATTTACTGTAATTTTAAAAATCAAAAAGAGATTTATATGTGACTCAGAGAGTAATTTAATAGTAAGATCCCTAAAAAGCGGTCTGCCCACATGAACAGAGTTTGCTTTCTTCCTGCGGTGTCTTCAGTCTGCTTTCTCAACCATTTCCGTCTTCTTCCTCTTTGTCTCCCTGCCCAGCATTTTGCCGGGACAATGAGCTGGAATGTACCAACCATGAGTGTGTGCCACGTGACCTGTGGTGTGATGGACGGGCCGACTGCTCAGACAGTTCGGATGAATGGGACTGTGGTAAGCTTCCGGTCCCTGCCACCTGCCTTGCATTCACATGCCTGTCAGCCATCTAAGCTAATGAATCCTAAATTATGTCATGGGTTTTACGCATCAAGTTCATCTATTTTGTTTAACTGTTATAAAAGCTGACAGGTGATTGATGAGAATTATTTCTGGGTAACAGAAAATCCCCCACCCTGAAGTTACTTCTTGATTTTAAATGTCTATATTATATGTATAACATTTTTGCATTTAAATGGCTTGGAGGCATGCCATTTGGGGACTTAAATTTTATTTATCACCCAAGTTCGATAGTGGTGAATAATCAGTCATTCTTGGATCATTTACATCCTCAAGAAGAGGATACAGAAGTGGCCTCTTTGTCTGACCTATATGCCCTGCTCTTCACCCTTCATGAGTTTTCTAACTGTCTAGTTCCTGCCATGGGCAGGACTGGAAAGCACCTCAGTCAGTGTGGCAGATTGTCATCTCATCTTGACTATCTGATGAACTCCCTCCTTGTGTGCACATCGCTCCCCTAATTCAGTCAGTTCCTACCTTAGTCTTTTGTATCCTCTTGCCAAATAATGAGTTTCCTGTGCACTGTGATCAGGTACACGGTGCTCCACAAATGACCCGTGGCTGATCCAGTGCAGAGGCTGGGGGTTTGCACATACACCACACCAATCATAAATGTCCACCACCCTCATGAATTCCCACTTTCAGAGGCTGAAAAAATAAAGTATGGAGTTTCAAATAGCTCCTTGCAATTAGTTTGGCTAATCCCTGTGGAAATTCAAGGCAGTGGGGCTCTGCCCCTGGCCGTCTTCTGCCTCATAAAGCCGAGCGCTGCCTGTCCCTTTGATTAGAATCTGCAATGTTTTGAAAGCACAGCACATATCGAATTCACCTTTTTCAGTCTCCTGTCACATTGAGGGAGCTGTGATTTGCACATACAGGTTCAACCCCAAAGGGTTCTCAACTAAAATAAATACAAATGGATGCATGCAGTCAGAGCAAAGACATACACACTTATGGCCTCTGGAGAAGATGTGTTTTTAATTAGGCTTTCTCGAATTTTCTCCCCTCAGTGACCCTCTCTAAAAATGGGAAGTCCTCCTCATTCCTGACTGTTCACAGATCTGCAAGAGAACACCACGTGTGTGCTGATGGCTGGCAGGAGACACTGAGTCAGCTGGCCTGCAGGCAGATGGGTTTAGGGTAAGGTCAGTAGTGTGTAGCACTTGATGAGTTTCTCAGAGGGCTCTGTGGATGTTAGTGGTAATATCTTCCTTATGAATGATGTAGAACTGGAAAATCAGGGCTCTCCAAAGCCCTTGAAATAAATCCTGTGTGAGGAACTTATTTAATTCTAGGCACCTGCTCTAAAGAGTGTGAGCTGCAAACCTGTTATGGCAAAGTCTCAAAAGTAAATGAACTAACTAATTGTATTTTGAAGTACTTGTGAAATGGAATACGTTCACTGCTTATAAATGCATTAAGATGGTCTCCTCTCTGGAACCTGGATGAAAAACTCTTCATACCCCTTCCCTGAGGTTACTGGGAATTTCTTTTTAAGCAATATACATACATTAAAAAAAAAAAAAAACAAGTTGAGAAAGAGAAGTCAAAGCTGCTGGTATTTCTATTTATCCTAAGCAACACAGAAAGTACACACCAAGGAATAATTCAGCGTTTTGCTTTTTAGTGGAATGAGAAGACCCACCCTGTCTTTTACATAACTGGAATGGAAGGAAGTGTGCACACACTGATTTGTGAGGTGTTTTGTTTCAGGTCATTTGGCAATAGAGAACAATCTTCTGTACCACCACACAACACATAAAAGATAATGTATACATATGTACGTTATATTACTATACGGCATTTTGTCTTATTATCCTAATGATATATGTGAGATTTGAGTATGAATATAGAAATAAGAAAAATAAAAGATCAGTGAGTCATGCAACTCTAGACTTAAAAGCCAGAGTTGATGGTATTTCCCAGAATCCACTGAATAAATGAAGATTGTTTACAATTATGAGCCTTTTGACTCAGCAACTAGCTGCATATTATTGTTGCCCCAGTTTGAAGAATCATATCACCGCTAACATCTTGTGCCCTTTTCTTCCTTGTAAAGACCCACATCTTTGGAAATTTGAGTAACTCTTACTAATTTATAATAGAAGAACTTTAATCTTTTCCAGCACTAGAAAAAAAATTGTAGCTGTCATGATCTATTAAATTACTGTCCGTTTTCGGAATTTCTTTATTCTGTCTAAATGAAATGGGATATGATTTTGATTCAATAAATGAAAACCACTTGAAAGTGCTTATCTTGGTTCTCTCACCAAGACACAGGGGTATTGCTTAATATGAAAATTCAATTACACGAGGAGACTTAGCTCTGCCGAGAGTTCTGAGGGTAAGTCAGACCTGAGAAGATTTACAAGAACAAAAGTTTTGACAAGTCACCTGAAATATAAACTGTTAAACTGTAAACAAAAGATCTCTTGTCTTAAATGTCTTGTCTTACTTCATCTTTTTTGTATTTCTTGCATACTAGATTTTTGTTGCTCTAACATACATGTAAGGAATTTGACTATTTCAGTGGCGCTGGGCACCGTCACAGTGTTTGCGCAACTATCTCTACTGTCTAAGTCCATAACATTTTCATCACCACAGAAGGAAACTCTGTGGCCGTACGGAGTCCCTCTCAGTTGCCTTTCAGATGCAATAAATCACTCACTCATTTTCCATCTCTATGCGTTTTGCTTCTGCTCTGGATGTTTTAATAAGGAAGCGTATAGCACGTGATCTTTTTGTCTAGATAATATTCTCAGTTATCTGTGTTACAGTATGTACAATTTCATAGTTAAATAATACTTCATTGAATTGTTATACCACATTTAGATTGTCAGCCACATTTCCGACGTTACGCCACATTTAATTATATCTTCAAATATTTGGATTGTTTCCACTTTTTATTGCATACGAGATTTATAAATAATTCCTTTAACCAGATATGACAGTGAATCCCTGCAACCCCAACACTCAGGAAGTAGAGACAGGAGGATTGCTTCAAGCTTGAGGTCATCCTGCTGTGAGCTTCAGGGCAGCTAGATTTACAGAGGTGCTCTGAAACACAAGCTCGCTTATTCTATTCCCTTTATTTCATTGACTCCGAGGGTGAAATGTTAGCGTTTAAGATATTTAAAGCCACAATTGACAAATGGATGTTTTTGTTTTCGACAACTTTATTTCACTGAAAGGCAAGGAGAATATGAGGAAGAAATATAGTCAATTCGCCATAATTACTGGCAGAATTCTTGGATAAATGGGTAAATAACATCAGGTCATCTGAGACTGGCTTCAGGTATACCTGTCAACTTATTTTGATGGCTCATAGACTGAGAGACATATAGAGAGGCAGAAGAGGGAAAGAATGAAGATAATGGGCAGATGAGGCCTCATCCCTGGTATGAGGATGTGCTGCTTGGAAAGCTTCTGTTTCCTGAGTCTCTAGAGACTAGTTGTCTTGTGGAAATTCATACTTCTGCTACTGGTACCTCAGACAAGCTCTACACAACCTTTGAATCTTCCAGTCAAAGTCCTTGATTGCAAAATCTTTCTGACCATGGTGTGTCTACACTCCAGGTTGGAGGGGAAATACTGGCTTTCCTTCTTGACTTTCAGAATGGAGTGCCCTTTGTACTGGTCGGCCTTTAGCTTCCAAACATTCTACTTCAAAGGTCGAACCTTAGAAAGCCAGCCTTAGCTCTGCTTACCTTCCATAGTCTGTTTCGCTTTGTGGAGTGTGTGCGCATGAGTGTTGACCTAAACTAGACACTGTACGGAGGATGTGCAGGAGGACACCATCACTGGGCTTGGAGTGTAGGAGAGCCATGGGTGAGACCAACAAAGGACATAAGTCTCATTTCCTTCATTGACGATGACACAGGCTTAGAGCAGAGCTTACAGAATTCCTATTGAAAGTATGCAAGAAAACAATATTCAGCTCTAATCCTTGGGAGGATTCACTCTGTAAGCACAGACTGAAAAAAGCACTAATATTTAATATTCAGAACTAACTCACCTTCCCTCTAAAAGGGGTATTCATTGATTTTAGTGGGGAGTTTATAAACTAGTTTGTAAAAAAAAAAAAAAAAAAACTTTACTCCTATGCCAAATTGTGTGTTTTCTGGGATTATACGGCAATAGTTCTGGTAGAGGCAGTTGATTAAAAAGATAGTCATGGGCTCTGTTTTTCAGACACAGATTCTACTAACCATGTATTAGAGCAAAACTGGCAGACTTGTAATTAAGTATTTGTTCAGGTGAAAAGATTCAGTGTTTGTGTTGAATCCGAACACTTACTTTCATCTGGAGGTTGATCCAGAGTTCACCCCAGCCTAGAAGCGCAATGCTTTGCTGGTGAGACAAAGGCATAAATCAAGTCCGTGAGTTCTTTTGACAGCATCTTGTCTTCTACTTACACTATCAGAAACATACGCACATGTATTTAATGAACAATACAAATCAGGACTTATTCGGCTCTCTAATCCTTGCCAAATGCAGGGTTGGGACATCTGGCATTTGAGGATAAGTTTAGGGGGTGGGAACTTCTGTCTCTTGGCTCTACAAGCTCTATCTCTACAAAATGTGAACTCATCTGGAAATCCATGTCTTGAATCTATTTGATTGTCAGAGTTTCTTTTTGGAGAATGTTTCTATATTTTGGGCACAACCACAGTCAAAGACACTATGTATTATGTGACCTAGGAGTCCCTAGTATTCCCTTGTAGGGTTTATGTTTTCACTGCGTCCTCCCAACCCCCAGGTTTACTGGGAAAGAACTGTTTACTTCAAGATGGTTGCCTTATTCACATGAAACTTGAAAGCACCTGAAAGTCCAGCCCACGATGCTGCTCTCACACATATGAACCTGAGTAAGCATCTTTTGATATTCACAAGGTTTCAATGGGTGAGCTATAACTTGCTTATCATAGAATTAACCCTTTCCAGTAGCACTATTGCGCTGCTTTCACTAGATTCACAAGGTTACATAATTGGTACCATCTGATTCCAGAATTCTTTTATTAGCCTCCCCCCACTTTCCCCCAATGCCCCAAATGCATGGCTATTAGTCTCCAATTTGCTTTCAGCCCTGATGACTACTAATGCATTTTCCACGTCTGCGGATTTTTCTACAGGGTACATTTTCCATGAGTAGAATCATATAATATCTGCTTTTATGTCTTACTTTTTCCATTTAGCATAGAGTTTCATAGTAAACAGTCACCTGTAAGCTTTTGCATGAACATCCATTTTCAAGATTCTTGGGCATTAAAAACTTAGAAAGACAATTGCTATAGCAAATGGTGACTTATATTTAATTTTTTTGAAGTGCTGCCAAAGTCTTTTCCAAAAGGGCCACCTCATTTTATACTCCCACCACCAACGTATGAGTTTTAATTCCTTCATATTCTTCTCAACTCTGATTGTTAAGTACTTTTCTGACAGTCAGCCTAGTTGGAATAAGATAATATTTTCACTGTGAAATTTATTTGCATTTCCATGATTGCTAATGATGTCCAACACTTTTTTTTTTTAAATTTAGTCCTTCATTTCTGCTTTAAATTCCCAGAAAAGGTAAAACTCTTTATCCTTACAGGTTCATTTATTTTCACTTTGTGTGAATTACAGTTGCTTGCTTATATGTCGATGTACTATGTCTATGCTTGGTGTCCATAGCAACCAGAAGAGGGCGTTGGGTCCCTTGGAATTGAGTTAACAGACAGTTTTGAGCCATCGTGTGGGTGCTGGGAACTAAACGGGATCCTCTGCAAAAGCAACTAGTGCTCTTAACTACTGAGCCATTTCTCCAGCCCTATAATTCTTTTTTATTATTTAATTTTCTGAAGAAAAAAGGCACATGCGTGTGTGTATAATATATTTTTATTCATTGACTCTTTATTCCCTTTTTCGTGTTTATAGACTGTGGGAAAACACCCTACATAACATAATCCAATGTTTTGTGGTTTTTTTTTTAATACTTCTTGGTAAAAATGCCTACAGTACTGAGTCGATGTTTGTATGTCTGAGGGAGAAGCCACATGGAGCAAGCCCATGGAGTACCATGACCTTCACACAGCACTGTTGAGTCATTTCTGCTACTCTTGTGTTGTATTCATAGGGAATTAATTTCTTAGACAAATTCTAAGAGGTTTGTGGTTAAACATCTAGGTGGAAAGAAAATCTATGGTACAATGTGTGTATTCATAGTGTTTGATAGAATGTTGTATTTTGGGTAAAAGAGACTTGTTTTCCTGAAAATGTATTCAGAGGAAGAAGATTTTTTTTTAAAGTTCTTTCATGAATCTACGTGGTACCAGCTTTAAAAACAAAGGCAAAGTATTCCTGTTGCCATAAGACCATAAATTTATGTCTGGTAATGATAAACCCTGACAGGAATTTGGCTATCTATTAGCAAACTGAATCTCAAAGCATGTCAGTTGAGTCTGTGAATAATTTATGAAGTGGAAACCTCTCAGTGAGGTAGAGAAAGTCTCCATTATTAACTGCAGTGGAACGAGGTGGGATCTGAAGTCAATCCAGTTTGTTTTCTCTCATATTATACTTGGTTGTAAGCAACTCATTGTTAAAATAGATTGACACTCACAAAAACCAGCTTCCCTGAGGTTTCCAAAACCAAGTACTGTCCAGAGCTAGTTTTCACCCTTCTAGTCTTAACCCCAGTAATAACAGGACCAACCACAAACCATGAAGTTCAGGAGCAGGAATGACGCTGATTCATACAAATGCCCTACGATAGCATATTCCCAGGTCATTCCAGTGGTTAGAGCGTTGACTTGGACACGCACATAGGTGAAACCTGAGAGCCTAAGAATACGGTACAAGTTGAATGAATTTGCCCCAAGAGGACTCGAATAGTTTCTACAGGAAGTTGTTACATACCAGCATCCTTTTGAAATGGTACTGGGCACTCCAAGTAATGGCTGAGTTTCTGATCTTAGGTCTTCTTCCTCTCGTTTTTAAAAAGTACCTCCAAGTCAGCATCCATATACTCCCTTATCTCAAAACTATGTGTCTTTTTCCATTATATTAAAATCTGCACAGAAAGTTCAATTCTTTTATTCTGGGATTGTATAAGATGCCAATTCCTGTTTTACCCAACCCATCTTCAAGTTTTTTCTTTGGTAAATATTAGACACACTGACCTGCTTGCCACTGATCTAACATTCCAAACGCCTACCAGTGGGGCCATCTTTCCATCCCTGGTCTCACTGCCTGGAATTCTGATGGCCAACCCCTATCCCCATCATCATTCACGTATCCTACATGAATGAATGAATCGGAGATGCTTATGGACTGAGGCAGCCTTCACTCTACCGTAGCTCTTGATCTCACCTTTTTTGAAGTCCTTATCCAGCACCTCAAATAACTTTGGAAAACAAGCGTTCATCTGTTTCTCTCACCGACACGATAGCTATTAATTTCTTGTTTCAAATTCCATTTTTCCTTATTAACTCACAGTTATCCATTTTAACGTCTGCCTGACTACATCAGTCATTTAAATTCTCTTGAAGTAACATTTGGTTTTTGAGTTCAAAACCACCTGATAACTAGCACTACTTGTATGAACATGGCTGGTTAACCCCATTTAATAAATGTAAGTCGAGTTTAATTTTACTGCCTTCTTTTAACCTTTTTGCGTTACTCAAAAGCTGACACACAAATGGCTCTATAGATTCCTAATCCCAGGGCTCAGGGATCTCTTGAAATAAAATATTCCACGTAATGTCCCTGGCAGCAGGCAAGTCCACATGTAATGTTTTCTGAATTTTGGATTCTTTATCTAGAGCGCCCCATGTTGTTTACATTTCCTGCTCACGTCAAGTTGTGTACATGCTCAGAAGCATTTTCTATGCTTCCGACGCCTCTAAAAAAGGAGGAAAGGGCATCTGACAAGACAAAGCACTTCTGTTACAGAGTTAGCTTTAACTCGTGTTTACAGGCTTCTAAAGAAAGAGCCGGCCCATGGAGATAGAAACGGGTTATCTCCAGCCTAACACACTGATTCACAGAAGCTGAAAAGCGACCAGCATTTACTGTAACACCGAAATCAAGGCGCTGTCCATAAAATGCTCGAGCCTTTATTTGATAAAGAGTAAGAGTGATGCTCCAAAGGGTATCAAAAAAGAAATAGGAATTTTTCCAACAAAATATCCAAAGAAAGACAAAGAATATATTTACACAAAAATATACTTACTACTTAGTACAACTTATTCAGTTATGTAAAACTGTTTTATTATCAAATGATATTTTAATGTATAATATTTATGGTTGATTGGTGTTACAACATAAATGTTGTCTTAAATACTGTTGTTAATGTTCTAATAATGTTAAAATTATTTAATTGATGGTTATGATTAGTAAATATTTTACTTCACTTATAATTTCATTACTTTTCATACTGGAATAGATTAATTTCTCTGTTTTTAATATTTGTGAGATGTGAATAGTGTGATTTAATGCCATAAGGTAATATAAAATAATGAAAAGTGATTTTATAATTTGTACCTATAGATTGTGCCCAATATAGTTATTATATTCCACCTCTGAAATAGACAAATAGATTGTAAGATTTTAAAAAAAAGCTATCTCTTTTTAGTTGGAATTTCACTGGTATGTTTTTTAATTATGGCTTACTAAAAAGATAGACTCAGATGTCATGCCCACTGGAAACATTCATACTGAAGAGAGTTATGCTGTAGCAAGTGTAAGCTGAGCTGTTTAAACAGGAATGACTCAATAGTAGTGTTCATGTTTGTCTCAAGCCCACTAATACCATTCTGTCAACATCTTAGCTCATTCTTCAGTTTGATAAGAAACTTAACCAGTCTTCAATTGTTTGTCTGGTAGTAGGCCCAGAGTCATTGTACTACCTTAAATTATATCTACAAAATAGGATTCAAATAAGGATGATGATATGATATGGTTCAAAAAAATACTTTGGAAGCTGGATTCTAAGTATTCTTGTGGAATTGTTCAACACTCTGAACAGGGTACTTGCGCATTTCCTACACAAATGTGTATTTCAATACCAATTCTCAACCACTGAGAACAAACACTGGGGTTCTTTTTCCCCAGCAACAGACACACTGGAACAGAGTTTTTTGTTGTGGATATGTGTAAGCCGTTGCTGCTCTCTTGATGTCTAGGTACAGGGTCCCTATCCTTTGGAGACTTGTGTACGTTTGCGTGTTTAAAGTAAGCGAGCTCAGTTAAAACTATTGTGGGATACTTGTTATTGCTTACACACAAAGCCCACTGAGAAAGATGAAGACAGAATGGGCTGTTGTCTAGCAATCTGATGCCAGTTCCTTTCAGAGTACCATGGGATAAGACTGGGGGATATAGCTCAGTAGTCAAATACTTGACAAGCATGAGACATGGGATTGATAACTTCACCAAAACAAAACAAAATTCCTATGTCATGTTTCAGAACTCTGAGTAAGCTTTGTCATCTCATCTCAACAGTGGGAAAAATCACACATTTGTGTATGTCTTCTGCAACTGCACAAGTCCCAAAAAGCAGATTCTTTTGTGGAATACAGTTGGCTTGCTTTCTCTAGGGGATTGATTCTAGGACCTCAGCCTTGTAGATTCATGGTGTTTGCATGTAATTCCTATGGATTCACTGCCTGTGTTTAGTAATGAGCCATAGGATAGGACAGCATTACCAGTGTTCAAGGATTTAGTTTTGTGCAAGAAGAACGTTTCAGTGTTTCAGAATGCAAGGAAAACTAATTTTTTTTAATAATAGCACTTTCTTTTGCCTAATGATGAGTTTCTCCAACTTTCCATTTGATATAACTGGGGTGCTAGCTATGGGTTTCTTCTTGGAAGCTTGTGAGTGAATGATAAAGCACACAGTGTGTAGTGCTCCATGGGGCCTTTCCCCAAAGTAACTAACAGGCCTGGTCCTTTTCCTAACTCCTTTCCCCTTTGCTAATCATGCTCCAGCCAAATCCTCCTGAATAAATTTCTTTTCTTGAAATATTGATTTATAATGTGATACATTTTAAAGAATTGAACCCTAAATAATGATAACACTTGTTCAATTTGTTTGAATATTTACCCAGCATTTCCTTTATATCAGAGAACCATCTGTGACTGAGCTGATCCACGGAGAGGAAGACCAGCAGTGGCTGAGGTTGCACTCCGGCTGGGAGACTCTCAATAGGAGCACCTTGCAGGAGCTGCTGGTGCACAGGTAAGAAAACCCCCACAGCAGCCTTGCGTGTGCACATTATGGAGTAAGGGCTGACCAGTGGCATTTCTTCTCTTTCAAACCTGCAAACACTCAAACTTGCCACACCAGTAAATAACTTTCCCAGAATATCTGTTAATTTTTACATTTCAATGTTAATGGGCTCTTTATAGACAGGATTAATTTTATTTTGACAAGTTTCCTATTTAGTCAGAACTACAGGATCCATTATGTTAGGAGAATGTCTCATTTTGCAGTGAACTCTCACATCTGTAGTTCCTACAAATATTACATAGGACTAGTTATCAGGGAAAATTAAGTTAGAGTCTGAAAAAAATAATAAACACAGATCAAAACTAAAGTCATGTAGTTTTGACTTCTTCCCTTAAATGATGACATATTAAGCAATTTGTCTCCGTTGGATGGGCTGAAAGAGGAATGTAAGGAAGTAATGGACCTTTTTATTTTTTTAAGATTTGTTTTAATTTATGCATCTGGTGTGTGTGAGCATATGCACGTGAGTGCAGATGCTTTGTGGTTCTTATTTAAAATATTTATTTATTTATTTATTTATTATTTATTTACTTATTTAATGTATATGAGTATACATTAGTATACTATAGCTGTCTTCCCGCACACCAAAAGAGGGTACCAGATCTCATTACAGATGGTGGTGAGTCATGTGGTTGCTGGGAATTGAACTTAGGACCTCTGGAAGAGCAGTCAGTGCTCTTAACTACTGAGCCATCTCTCCAGCCTGCTTTGTGGTCCTTAAGATATGATCCACCTAGCACTTGCATTTTGTAGTCAGATAAACTTAGCTTGCCTTTTCTCTCACCCATCATCTGTAGAATGTAGCCTTTGAGACCATTGTTTAAATGTTCTTAAATCTAACCCTTCATTCTTGGCTGTTAGAATAAGATAGTTATAATTAAGGAGTTTATTTTAAGGAATGAATGGGTCATGAGGACAGAGGGTTCCCAGAACTCTGAGTGACAGGCCTCCTGATGTGAGTTCTGAGTACAGAACCCAGGTCTTCAGCAAGAGGAGTGCATGCCTTGAACTGCTAAGCCACCTCTCCAGCCTCCTCCTTTCTTAAGAGATATATTTTTATTTTTAATAAGAGCATTTTGAGGTCCTCTGGCTTGAAGTTAAGGCTTCATTCATGCTTGGTAAGCACTGAGCTGTTTTCCCAGCCCAAGGAATGGATTCTTATTAGACACGTTACATTACAGATACTAGCCAGGCTGTCTTATCTAGATTGGCCCATTAATTCTTTAAAATAGACTTCTTAATTATGATTACTTTAGTCCAACAATTGAGGACATAAAGGGTTAGATTTAAGAATATTTAAACAACTATCTGTAAAGGCCACAGCCTATAGATGGTGAGTGATAGAAAACACAAGCTAATTTTATCTGACTGTAGATGTAACTGCTAGGTAGATTACATTTTAAGACCCACAAAGAAGAAAAGTAAAGGTGGCCCTTTGCCCCTCAGGAAATCTGAAGACTTCCTCATTGGTCAAACTCTGCCCCTAAATTTCTGACTACTCTGTCAAATGAAGTACTTGCTCCAAACCAATGACCTAAATCTTTCAACACAACGATGTTCCTCTAAACTGGGTATGGAAAAATCCTTCCCAGTCAGACAAATGAATAAACAACCATTCTACTTTGGGGATTTGTAGACATAGCTCACTAACTAAATGAGATGCTATGTAACAAGTTTTCTACAAAGAGTTGGGTGGCTAATATTTATGACTCTCTGCACGAAAGCTGTAATTTTAAAAACAAATGTAATAATTAAATTTACAACGAATTTTTGAATGACATTTTTACACTAGGTCCAGGGCTAGTCTCAGAAGGAATATAAAAATCAAATGAAAGTAAAGAAAGATGTGATTCCCAAAGAACTTATCGTTTGAGTACATTCGGAGATTAGAGGGAAGTCTGAAGGATATTTTCTATATCACGGGGACAAGGCTTAGAGAGATGGCTCAGCTGATAAAGTGCCTCTCTAAGCATAAACAACAACCTGAGTTAGCCACACTAGGAATAACAAAGCAGAGACTAGAGAGAGAGATGACTTTAGGTTACAGGAAGGTAGAAAGAAAACTAGACTCTTATATGTTGTATAATTAATCTTTTGCCAATATTTACAGATGACCAAAGGGAAATTTATTTTTAAAAATGAAGATACAGTAAATTTTCAAAATGGGAAGATTTGTGGTGCATGGAAACGGTATATATGTAAGGGGTATTTTTTATAGGTGAGATCAAGGATTCATACTATTTTTACGAGTCCCAACAAGCCTTACGTGTTTGTAACTTATATGATGAAAAAAGTGTTTGATGGCTGGAAAATTATTTGCTGATTACCATTTAACTTAACCTAAACTGAGTTCTTTTGTTCAACACCCCCCAACACGCATGCACACACACACACACACACACACACACACACACACACACACGACAGAGAATGAGAATGAGAGGGAGAGGGAGAAGGAGAGGAAGGGGAAGTGAGGGGGGAGGGAGGGA